ACCTGGCTCTCATTTACTTCCTGGCCATGGAGGGCCTCTGGAGAATTCAGGCTGGCAGCTGGGTGTAAAAATAACTTACTTTGGGGGTGGGCGTGTGGCACAGTCATCGAGCTGTTGCTTGGGATACAGGTGTCCCATATCGGAGTTCCTGTGTTCCCTGCCACCCATGTGGAAGACCCGGATCGAGTTCCTGGCTCCAGCCTGGTCCAGCTGTGGCTGTTGGAGGCATGTGAGGAATGAAACAGCTGATGGCAGCTCTCTGCCTAGTGACAACACATTTCTTTGAGTCTGGAGATGGAAACTTCTAGAAGGTCTAACTGCCTGGCACTCTTCGTTGTCAAGGAAAAGCCAGCAGAAAGCTCTTGGCCAAAGTTAACTGTCATCTTTCAGTATTTTTCATTCACTCACTCCCCATATGCTTACCTGCAGCCCCTCTGGGGAAGTGAGGGTCCTCGCCTCCACGAAGCTCCATTCCGAAGGTGGAATCTAAAGCAGGGCTCCCCATGACGACGTCCCAAAGGGAACTGCTTTACAGGCATTCGGGAGTCGGGCTGGCCTGTGCAAATACCCCACCCTTGGGGCCGGCACTGAGGTGCAATGGGTTAAGCCACCACCTGCGGTGCCCAGAGCGCCAGTTCATGTCCTGGCTGCTCTGCTCCCAATCCAGTTCCCTGCTCTGTGCCTGGGAAGGCGGCAGTAGAAGATGGCCCAGTTGCTTGGGCCCCTGCACCCACATGGGAAATCGGAATGGAGTTTCTAGCCTATTCAGACAGAAGATCTCTTTCTCTGTCACTCTACCTTTTAAACAAACGTTCAAAAAATCTTGAAAAAAAAAAAAAATCCCACCCTCCTACTTACTAGCCCGTGGGAGAGAGGAGCTGTCGCTTCTGTGAGCCTCAGTCCCTACCTTCCTGAGTTACTGGCTGCTGCGAGACCTCTGCGGCAGCTGTGATTAATAAGTGATGGCTATTTTGTTTTCTTAAAAGCAAAGCAACCGCGTGGAACTCTTTCTTGCCTATGGACTGCTGTTGACGCAACCGTTCTGTATCCGTCCCCACTGTGCACTTTGAGGGCGACCAGTCACATGCAGCTTTTCATTATCTGCAATGTGGCTGCTGGGGAGTCCTATGGGACAGCAGCAGGCCTAGGACACAGCCAGAGTTAGGATGAGGCAAACGACAGCAGCTGCGAGAGCTGGAAGGGACAGTGGCTCGGAGGGGCCGGCGAGGGCCGGAGCAGGTGGCCTTAAGGATAATGAGCCTCAGGAGATATGCAAGGGGGAGCCAGACACAAAAGGCTTCCTGCGGGAGGATTCCACTCATGACTTGTCCAGAACAGGCAAAGCTCCAGAGGCAGAAAGCAGACGGGGAAAAGGGAGCTAGGGGGCTGGATGGCTCATGAACATGGGTTTCTTTTGGGAGTGTGTGAAGCTGTATAACACTAAAGACCAAGTCGGTGAACAGCACAGTACGCACATCATCTTAATAAGCTGTTCTGAAAAGATCCCCAAATCCCAGGACGTCTCTGCTTAGTGGGACCCCCGCAAACTGGCTTGTCTGTGGGAGTGACAGGATGGTCTTCCCAGTCGACCGCGTCCCAAGCCCAACTTTGATTTTAAGAATTCAGAAGCCCTCCCCGTCGCCGGAGCCTCTAGCGGCAAGGAGCAAGCCGCACCTGCAGGAGAAATGAAACTCCAGATGGTGGGGGCTGGGAAGGGCTCCTGAGAGGGAAGGAAAAAGCTGAAAAAGGCAGACGGTGCAAGCCAGAGCCAGCTCCGATCTCCTGAAGGGAGATCAGCTTGACGTTCCCAGAGGTGAGGGGACAACCTGCTCTTTCATTTCCTTCCTGGTGGCTTTTCCTCCTCAGGGACGGAGCCGCTCAGTGAGCACAGTACGGGAGCGTTAGAGACGCTGCGTGCTGACCGACAAAGTCACGCAGACAGGAAACAGCACTGTGGCAAGCAGCAGGTGCCAGGCCATCTAGAGAATGACACACGAGTCTGCAAAGGCACGCAAATCCTATCAGGAAGACAGCTTTACAGTCATGAAGAGCAAAAGCCTAAGCGTCCACTGAAAGGTTTGAAACACTACTTTTGGCAGATCGCTTTTGGAAAACTGTAAAGTAAGCAAAGCAAAAAGCCCATAAGTAGGATGTGAAGCTGAAACATGCTCAAGTTGTACTTAACACAGTACCAGTCTAGCAGGCTCCATCTCAGGAACAGAGGCAAAGACTTACATCTCTCACCCTGCTTGCGTCAGCAAAAATCAAACCTGTATGAGACAGACGACCTCAGGCTCCCTCCATCTCAGCCGCAAAAGCAGCAGGGCCGTGAAGGGAGCCACGCGAGGCTCTGCCTCCCCACCCTGGGCTCCACCTCACACCGGTTCCCCCACGTGTGAAATGCAGAGCTCTTTGGGAAGCCATTTAATTGGTGTTTTATGTTTTGTTTTGTTTTTAAAGTTTTATTTGAAAGGCAGAGTTAGAGAGAGAAAGAGAAAGAGGAGAGAGAGAAGAAAGGAGGGGAGAGAGGGGAGAGAAAGGAGAGAGGGAAGAGGGAAGAGGTGAGATGAGAAGGAGGAGGAGAGAAAGAGAGAAATGAATTTTCCATCCACTGGTTCACTCCCCAAATGGCTGCAGTTGCACCAATCTGAACTCAGGAGCCTGGAGCTTCTTCTGGTCTCCCACGCAGGTGCAGGGGCCCAAGGACTTGGGCCATCTTCTGCTGCTTTCCCAGGCACATTAGCAGGGAGCTATATGTGGAGCAGCCAGGACTTGAAGTGAGGTTCACATAGGATGCAAGTGTTGCAGGCAGTGGCTGCACCACACCACTGGCCCCTACGCAATTTTTAAAAAAAGATTATTTATTTGAAAGGCAGCATTGAGAAAGATCAATCTTCCATCTGCTAGTTCACCCCCAAATTGCTGCAACAGCTGGGGCTGGGCCAGGCCGAAGCCAGGAGCCTAGAACTCTATCCACGTCTCCCACATAGGTGGCAGGGGCCTAAGTACTCAAGCCATCTTCTGCTGCTTTTCTGAGAGGCATTAGCAGGGAGCTGGATGGGAAGTGAAACAGCTAGGACTTGAACTGGCCCCTCATGTGGGATACCGGCGGTGCAGGTGGCAGCTTAACCTGTTGCACCATGACGCCGGCCCTGGTTATATAATTCAATGTGCATCTTTAGATATGATTAGGGTCTCAAACTTCTGTTTTGACAGATACTGATGTTCAGAATCAGCGAGGTGAAAATGAGAAAAAGGCATTTAGAGGTGATTTAAAATAGGTGGAGATGGTGGTGCAAAAATTGGAAATGTACTTGATGCCACTAAGTAACATGCTTAAAACTAGTTAAGATGGCAGGTTTGCAGCTAAAATTTTTACACACACACGCACACACAAATTAGGTACACAGTAGTAGCTGACTTGGTACCAGCTCCTGTAAGGGACTCACTGTGGAGGAGGAGTGAGTGCCTCGAAGGGGCCCCCCACTCTCCATGGGTGGTAGCTCCTGACAGGAGCATGCTGGTTAGCCTCTGGGAGAGCTGAGTGACCAGTGAGTGACCGCTGAACCCTCCATCAATAAGGCAGCCCCTCCGAGGTGGCAAAGCTGCAGGTGGTACAAGAGTCAGAGGCCACAAAGTCCCACTCACGGGAGCCGGAGGACAAAGCAGAGTCACCTGCGATGAGACACAGGTCTCGTAAAGCACAGCTATTGGGTGTGAAGGATTCCTACCCAGCAGCAAAGGTTGAGAGAGGGCTCCGGGGTCACGTGGCCTCGTTTGAGTCTCAGGGCCCAGCAAGTTCTAGCAGGCAACCCAGTGTCTTTCAGTCTGTTTGTTCACCTGTAAAACGGACGGGGAACAGCTACCGCCCAGGGATGGGAATAAAGACTGGGACGTACAATGTGCATCACGTGTTCTCCCAGTGCCTGCCTGCCTGTGGCAGTCACGGATCATTAGCTGGGTAATACCCAGCTCTGATTATAAGCATGTATGTAATGAGTACAAACAAGGTAGTGAATGAAAAGCGCACTGAAGTGCGGAACTTGCCACACACTCTGGACAATTTGTATTTATATGAAGGCAGAGCGAGAGAGGGAGGGAGGAAGAGACAGACAGGTTTTCCACACGGCTGGTTCACTCCCCAAATGCCTAAAACAACCAGGGTTGGGCCAGAACAAAGCCAGGTGTCTGGAACGCCAGCTGCTCTCCCATGTGCGTGTCAGGAACCCAAGTGCTTGGGGCATCACTTGCTGCCTCTCAGCGGGGCATAGCCAGGACTTGAACATCCCAAGCGGCGGCTTCACCAGTGGCGCCACAGCCACTGCTTCTGGAGAGCAAGTGAACATCAATCAGGACCCAGACTTGGGGGTGCTGGGACTTCTTCACTGCTGTCTTTTCAGGGCCCTGAATGACCTAGTGTGTCCTGAGGTGCTGCAGGGTGGGGAGATGACGCCCAGATCGGTTTGTGTTCAGAGCCTCTACTTGCCTCCAATGTATCAAGGGCAGTGCCCTGGGCCATGCACACCCACATCGAGGGGCACCGAGGAAAAGGCTGAGGCCCAGCAGGGAGCTGAGGGTGTCCACGAGGGGACGCAGCAGAGGCGGCGCAGAACAGACCTGCAGTTACAGCCTCAGATCGCAGGGGCTGACTGAACCTGGCCTTCTCAGAGGCCCCAGGCTCAGGCGCTCGACTGGACAGCGACTGAGAATTGTTCAGCAGTAAACCAATGGAATCTCAGCGTGGCTCTGTGCAAGTCCTTGGTGTGGCAGCCTTGACTGAGAACGCCACACAACTTCTACTAAGATGTTCTCCTATAAGCAGGTGTCTTGCAGAGGAATACAGAAGATGGGGAAGGCAATTTTCTGGGGGAGAAACTGTGTTTTCGGTGGGAACTTTTAGAGGGTTCAGCTGAGCACCCTCAGGGCCCCACCCCCTCAGGGAACACCACTGCGCCCATTGCCCAGGTCCCACAATCAAGACCTCTGAAGACAGCATCAGCTCTTCTCAAACAGTTTAATAGCAAATAAACAAAGGAAGGTACCACACTTGGCAGATACAAAATGACTTTTTGTCTGTGTGTCTGTGCAATTAAAACAGATTTAGGTTCCCCATTGGAACAAAAGGAAAAACACACAAAAAAGGAAGGAGAGTCCTTTTAAACACATACTCCCTTGCTCCAAACTTGTAACAATTTTTTTTTTCTTTTTAAATCCACTACACAAACTCTGTGATTAGGTAAGAAAAGCGACAGGGGCTCTTCTTGCCTTTTTTTTTAAACCATTAAAGTAAAATCCATAATTTTCTACAGAGTACAACACAAGTTCACACAAAAAAGACATTTTCTTTTGCAAATCAAAACAGGAAAGAAAGGAAAAGCTCAAACAAGGTAAAGGAAAAGCATTTCTACGGCTGAATCACGACTTTGAGTTGATTGAATCCCGGTGTTGCTGCGAACAGACTGTGCGTTTGGTCATAGTGGCAATTTTTTTTCTCTTCACATTGTGAAATCACTTTACATTGTTTTCTAGTAGAAAAGGCAAAAAACTGTACAAAACCCCTAGTGTTAAATACAACGTTTGTACCAATAAAAAACTCACACAGGTTTGTCTCCAAAATGTAAAGTTTCTTTTTTTTTTCTTTTTAAATTATTCACAAAAAGCAGCTGGAAATCAGAAAGGCAGCTGCCGCTCCAGGGTCTCAAATCCATTAAAACCACCACAGAACAATTAAAACAATCAGAGAGAGAAAAGGAAAAGGAAACAACGTCCAACGTTTGGCATTTGGTTTTATCCACAGGTTCTCCCAGAGCTCCTCTTGGAACTGAAAGCAAAATACATTGGCAAACACGGCTTCTCAATACACAGAAGGGGAGCCTCGGCGCTCCTGCCCACAGAGGCGGCTCTGTGCAGTCAGACTGTGGGGCGCACAGCAGTCTCTCAGGCTGGGGGGCTGGCCTCTTTTCATCCAATCACCCCTCCAGGAAACTCAGCAGCCTACCATGCACTGGGCCTCTGCGGGGCTGCCCTCCTCCCAGGGAGCGCGGCCTCCAGCAGAAGACTGAGCAACCTGGGGGCCTCAGAGCAGACATCCTGATGGGATCCCTTTCTCCACCAACCCCAGCGTGGAGGATGCTAAACAGTGCTTCTACCTCCCCCCCACCCCCACCCCGGCTCCACCTCTCCACCTCTCCACCCCTCCACTCTTCCAGGGACAATCCTTCCCTCCAGCTCTCCCAACGACCAGCAGCTTGGAGCTGGGTGGGATCTAGCATACGCTCCTCCCCTGCAGATCCACTCCCCACCCCCCACCAGATCCATCCTGGGACCTCTCATCTCCTCTGGTCTCTCCCTTTCCATTCACATTCTCACTCAAGTCTTCCAGACCCTGAGGCTGGATGGTGCCACAAAAGAAGAGGGTAAGTTCCCCTCAGGGAACCAAAGAACTGGCTTGCCTGGCACCCAGGGACAGTAGCTATTTGGCTCTTCACCCAATTTAAAAAAGAAATCCTTGCCCTTACCCCCACCCCACTAGCTAAGCAAGAGCTGACCAGTGGTGAAGAGCCAGTGTGGGGTGTTGGTGCCCAGGGCTGTAAACAGTGTGAAGACTGTAGTATTGTGCTTGTCACCTAGGAAAAGCGCCGGCAGGTGTATTGCCGCTTAGTGCACGGATGGCCTCCTACAAGTGGTTACCGCACCCCTTCCTCTGGGTGCTCACTACCCCAAATGCGCTAAGCCTCATGCCCACCCGCAGCCACCTTCTGGGTTCTATCGGTGCATCTTGTGCCTCTCTGGGGGCCCCTCCCCACCTCTCAGAGCAGAGCAGCCAGCCTCTGGACACCCTGCTGAGAGCTGGAGGCCAGGTGAGGAGGTGACAGTCTAAGTGCACAGGCAGACGCTCTACGGGCAATAGAGGAGGAAGTTGCCACTTCAAAATAAAACAGTACAATCTTGAAAAAAATCATCAACCCCACAACAATTTAAAACAGCTTCTTTGAAACCCTTTTAAATCGGTCAGTTTTTGCACAAACTATAGAAAACAGAGAGGTGAAGGTGATATATACGGAGGTGTGAAGAAACAGCAGGAAACATGCAAAACTTGTTTTTTCTGGGCATAATCTTAGTAGGAAAGGAAAAAATTCAAAACAAAAACACAAAAACAATACAAAAACAAAAAAAAAATCAAAGCATCACATTTTGCTGCGGAGACTGAAGGGAGAAGCATGGAGGCGAGCCCAGCAGGGCCGAGGGGGGGCAGGAGGGGTCCACAGCTCCCACAGGGTCACTCCAGGGAAGAACCACCAAAGAAAAAGAAAAAGAAAAGGCTGGCTGGGGCCCAAACTGCAGATGTGGCCAAAAAGGGGAGGGGTCAGGTGTTTTCTGCAGTTGAGAGCTCAGAAAACCAAAATAAACACGTGCAGTCTCCTCAAGCCCCACAAACGACATCAGCAAAATGTGCTCAGGAGCCTCGAAGGTTTCAGTGACATCTTTTATTTCATTGTTTACTTCAAAGTTGTCTTTAAAACTAAGCACACAGAGAAACAAAGCCTAGAAACGGACTGGCTGTGTGTTCACAGAAATACAAACACCACACGGTATGTGCTAGTAGGGCTGCTCTGAAGACAATTACAAAGAATTGGAATCACAAAATCAAGTGGTTATCTTATGAAGTTCTAGAAAAATAGATTTTTTTATATTCAAATGCAAGTTTAAATATTTCCCCTTCAGCAGTCGTTCTAGCAAAACCAATTTGGCAGCACAAAAGGGAAAAAAAAAAGGAAAGAAAAAAGAAAAAACAAAGAAAGAAACAAACATAATAAAAATACACATCAGCATCAAAGGTCAACACAAGGTCAAAGGTGAGAGTTCAAGCATCAGAGAAGCTGAAGAGACAGGGATTTGGACGATGTACTTGACGCCACATCGACATGCTTTAGGCACAACGATGAACAAACGGCAGGAATCTAGAAAAAAAAACAAACCAGAAAGAGGGAGACCCACTGAGTTACACAGAGCAATACATCCAAACAGAGAGAGAGAGAGCAGGACACTCACTGTGTGTACAGCCCTGAAATGAGGAGCGGGGCGGGGCGGGGCGGGGCAATGACAGGGAACTTCTGCACATGCTAACAATGGACACAGGGAAGAGTCAAAAAGGACATGGAGGACACCAAGAAAACATCCACTTGCCAGAGACAGAAGGGAACCTAAGGCTTGGATTTCCTGGGAAGCACCCGACACTCAGGAGAAGAGGGTCTCTGGGAGGGGGCAGGGGGAACAGCAGAAGACGCTGGCCAGGGTAGGGAGCATTCTTTTAGGGAGAGGGCCCGGATTCCTGCTTAATCCCATGGGGATGGCCCTTTGTTCCCAGAAATCCAAGCTCTTAGCTTCCACACAGGCCCTGGCCACTCATGTGGAACCCAGGAGACAGTGGTCTGGCTGCATTCAAGGCAAATCAATTTCATGATGTAACCCAAGTAAGAAACAAAACTACAGCAGAAAACACATGTAAGTGAAACCTCCACATACAGAACAGGATTGCTTAGGACTCGACTGCGAGTCTCCACTCTCGAGCTGAGCCCTTTCACACTGTGAGACTTCTAGGGGAGCAGCTTCTTCACAAAACCATCTTTGGCCTGGAGAGAGAACTGTGCTCAAGGGCAGCGCTGCTGCTGTGCTAGCTCACTGGGAGGGAGGAGAGAACAGAGGGGAGGTATGGTCTCACCAGCTGGCTGCTGGGGCAGCCCAGGACCCCTGCTGGGGCAAGTGCTCCTTTTAGAAGAGAGAAGCCCTGAGCAGGGACGAAGTCGCAGGGCCTCGGCCTCGTATCTAGGGCAGGCAGATTGCACCTATGTCTCTCAGGTCATTGGGAGAGGGTTCTCATAAGGTCCCAGAGCCCAGGACAAACAATGGCAAATTGGGGAAGGAGTGGAGGGAGGGAGAGAGGTGGGGTGGAGAGGAGTTCTGATCACGGAGGAAGACAGAACAGAAGGTCAGGGAGCACAGCACCGGCAGCACCCTGTGGAGCACAGTTCTCTCCTCTGCCAATTCACAGCATTAATGCCTTCCCCTTGGGCAGGTGAGCTGGGCTGCAAACGGGCCACAGAAAGTCAGTAGTTTCAATCATACACAGCACCCTGTGTGTACAACAATCACATTCTGGATTCTACAAAATCCTGGCCTTTTCCAGAGATATAATTTAGGTAATAAATATTCTCCACCCCGGAGCTGTATAAAACTTCTATAAAAATAGAAACGACATTCTTGGTTCCAGCCGGTTGGGATTCAGAACAGCGCCTCCCCAACCTAGCATTTTTTTCTTTTTTTGTTTTTGTTCTTTTTTTTTTTTTTTTGCATTTATTTAAAAAAATCCCATCATGACCCTGGAAGCCTTTAGAACAGTTTTATCCTTTGAAACACAGGACACATTTCTCCCAGTGCGCAGAATTCAAGTTTACGTGGTTCAGCTTAAGAAGTGTATGCTTCATGTTTCTTAAGAGGACACGGACCCAAGTTATCACTATGAGAAGGGACAAGCTGTCCCCCCTTCAATGGGATAATCCAACACCACCAACTACCTGTACAACACAAGACGGTCACTCCCTGTCTGTTGCCCACAGGAACAGCAAGAGGAGGAGAGCGCCCCCATCTGACTTACTAGCAAACCAACCCCTTTATTCTAATCCCTGCTGCTGGGGTCAGGACTGACACTCGTGAGGTCTGAGATTGCAGGGACCCAGGAACTCAGTCCCTGACTGCTGATAATCCTATCCTCAGAGGGCACCTCTGGCTGGGTGCACACCGCTAACTGGCATGTCCTTCCTGGCTCTCTACCCCCTACTGCATTTCTTGGAGCAGAGACAGAGCCCAGAGGCTGGGTGGGGGTCACTGGCAAGAGCTGGAGTGAGACCTGTGGGAGGCAGCAAGGAGCTAACTGTAAGCACGAGGACAAAAGAGAACATAGTAATACTGAGGTAAATGAACACTAAATCCATGTTGAGGATGTAAACGTTCTGTTGTCTCCTCTGTCCCCGAGAGCAGAATATGGGGCTGGAGTGGTTAGCAGAGGGCTTGTGAGACCTCTGTGGCAATACCATACCTGGAGCACCTCAACCAAGGAGGCAAGGGTGGGCCTCTGATTTCTCTTAAACACTAAGTTCTGGCCACTGGCAAATGCAGCGTCCTGGCTTGCAGCCACCTACGGATTCAGGTGCCCCAAGCAGCAGACTCTTGTTCTTCCAACTAAATGGCTTTAGGTCTCTCAGCCCAAGACAGGTTCCCCCTTCAGCTAGATGTAAGTGCTGTCCCTTGCTGTGGTGCCCTGCCAGGAGGGATGCCAGCCAACGTCTGCCAGAGAGGCCTTCTTTAAAAGAACCTATTGGGCATGGGCCATGGTCACATTTGGTGTTGCAATAAACTAAAAATGATCTCTTTGGCTGCTTCTCCCAAACAGCCACCAGCCAGGCAGGGCCAATCCAATGCTGGCTAGGGAAGCTGATAATGGCTTATGTCTCCCTGCTTTTTGAATATGTCAGTCTAATTTAACAGCTGCTTTATTTCCAGGGAACTGCTAACCCCTTTTCAGGGAAGAGGGGCAGAAATTCAGGCCAACAATCTGAAAGATCAGTGGCAAAAATTTGTATGTCCACAGAAGGCAGCTAGCTAGAGGCATTTCTGCCTCCAGCTGCCAGGTGTTAGGGGTCACACCATTCCCACTGTCTTCCAAAGCCAACCCACCTCTGCGGTCCCTCAGCTCTTGGATGTCAGTTCTCATCCCATCCACCCTTGCGCTCAGGGAAATTTGGGTGGTCAGTTTTTTGTTCCACTCAGTCCTCTCTCATGGGGTGGTTTGGGGCAAATTCTAATTATCTTTTAAGAACATTTCCCCATTCCCCCTCCCCCAGGGTGGTTTGGTGTTGGTCCTTCTCAACACACACTGGTTACAAACACAGCAAACTTTAAATAAAGAAAAAAAAAAAAAAAAAAAAAAAACTCAGGATATGGCACCTAAACTCCAAAGTAAAACACTGGAAACCAAAGCACAAACTTGTCCTCTGTACGAAGCGAAACTCCCACAGAAGGCAGTAGCCGAGTCTTCAGGGCAAGCTGTGCCTGCGAGAGTGGCGGGGATCAGGGTCCGGGGCTGTCAACACACAGCCTCAGGGCTTCGAATCAATAAGGGTGCTCCTCCCCCACTTACCAGAAGACCCTCTCACTTCAGTCTCAGAGGGGAGCACGCTCAGTAGGGCTTGCTGTCATTCTTCGAACGTTTGAGCTGCACTTTAAGTCGCTTCATGCCAATCTGAAAGCCGTTCATGGACTGGATGGCAGCTTGAGCAGAAACAGGATTGTCGTAACTTACAAAACCTGTGTGTACAAGCAGCAGCCGAGGTGAGGGCATATGGTGGCAAGAAGGTGTCTGGTCTCCACTACTCAAGGGACAACTTATGTGCTTAGTTTCAAATTCCAATTTTCTCAGCAGGGCCGAGAACTCTGGAAATTGTTATCTCAGAGTCTTAATTTGACATCTACATAGCCCCTAAAGAGTCTATTTTCATTCCAGTCCTTTCTGCACTCAGCCCCTTCTCTTTCTCTCTCAGTGGTCAAATATTTAATCCCACCCTGCCACAGAAGAGAAGCCAACATACCAAAACACTTGCTCAGGTTTGTCTGCTTGTCTATAAAAACCTTGGCAGACACGACGTTCCCAAAGGGCATAAACATCTGCAGCAGATCCTGGTCTCCAAACTCCTGCGGCAGGTGGTAGATGAACAGGTTGGCTCCCTCTGGACCTTCAAAAGACCCAGTGGTTGGGAAAGTATCAGTATGAAGCTCACTTACGACCCTGCACCAACGGTCTTTCACTATCGCTGTTAAAATTCTCCAGATACAAGGCAGACACTCAAGCACCATCGCTGAAACCGACTGCTTCCCTCAGGTTTGGCCATGCTTCACCTCATTAAGAGATGACACAATTCTGCCCTGCAGGAGGTGATAAAGCGGACGGACTTGTGTGTGTAGCAGTAAAACAGACACTAGAGGTCATAAAGAAGCACGGAAAAGGACGCAGCAAGAGCTTAGAAACAAAACAGGTTCCAAAACTGTGCCCAGAAACCACAAGGCCAGCAAACGAATGGGTCGGTGTCATAGGTGAAGCGAGCGCAAGGCATTTCTGGGGACAGTAAAGTCCTGGGTCTGTGGTGCTCATTACAGATCTGTGTGCTTGTTAAAGCTCAGAGCTGCACATCAAAATGTGTGACTCTAACCACATGCAGATGGTACCTCAGTAAAAAGAAATACTTTAATTTTTAAAAAACTATTTTTACTTGAGGGAGAGGGGGAGGGTAAGGGGGAGGGGGAGGGGGAGAGGTCTCCCATGTGGGTGGCAGGGGCCCAAGTATTTTAGCCATCACCTGCTGCCTAGTAGGGTGCATTAGCAGGAAGCTGGAACTGGGAGCTGAGGAGCCAGGACCAAACTAGGCTATTCCAATATGGAATGTGGGCATTCCAAGTGGCAACTTATCCACCGCATCAAACACACACCCCAAAAATTAACTTTTAAAAATGTGCTTATGATTAACATTAAGTTCAAAAACAGAATACTCCTCCATCCAACCACCTAACGATGAAGAATTTTCTTTGGCTTTTTAAAAAGATTTATTATTTATTTGAAAGGCAGAGCGACAGAGACAGATCTTCTATCCATCAGCTTATTCTCCAGTGGCCACAACAACCAGGTCTAAGCCAGGCCAAAGCCAGGAGCCAGGAACTCCAGCTTGGTCTCTCACAAGTACTTGGGCCAAGTACTTGGGCCAGCCATCTTTCGTTGCCTTCTCAGACGCGTTAGCAGGGAGCTGGATCCAAAGTGCAATAGCTAGTTGAACCAACACTCTGACATGGGATTTCAGTGCTACAACCGGTAGCTTAACCAGCTGTACCACAACACTACTCAATAATTCTTTCTTCTTCTTCTTCTTTTTTTTTTTTTAAAGATTTTATTTATTTATTTAAGAGGTAGAGTTACAGACAGTGAAAGGGAGAGACAGAGAGAAAGGTCTTCCATCCACTGGTTCACTTCACAAATGGCCACAATGGCCAGAGCTAGGCCAATCTGAAGTCAGGATCCAGAAGCTTCATCCAGGTCTCCAAAATGGGTTCAGGGGCTCAAGCACTTGGGCCATCTTCTACTGCTTTCCCAGGCCATAGCAGAGAGCTGATCAGAAGAGGAGCAGCCAGGACTCAAACTGGCACCGTATGGGATTCCGGTATTGCAGGTGGAGGACTAACCTGCTGCGCCACAGTGCCAGCCCCTCAATAATTTTCTAATCAAGGAGTTTTATTACAATTGCAGCCCAGCCATTCTCCAGCCACCCTGTCCTCCTAGTGGCGCACTGCTGCCTCAGGGCTTGCACATTCGCTGTGATTCTGCCCCATTCTCTTCTTTCTCTAGATAAATGCAAAGTTGCCTTCCTCACTTGTCTCAGGACTCTGCTTAAATTTAACATCAGACCTTCTCTGAGCAGTCTGCATAAAATGCAGCTGCCTCAGCACTCCCTTTGCTGCTTTTCGGTTCTCAGAGCACTGAGACACCTCATGCTTTTGTTTGTTTATTGTCTCTGTGTGTTGTCTGCATTAATTACTTGCTCATGAGAGAGGTGTCCCCACTACCGACACCCAAGACCTAAAAGTATCTGATTCAGCGCCAGGACAAGGAGAAGGGATAAGACCAAGACTCCCTGCCACCTCAACAAGAGAGGATATTAGTCTCTTTCCCACTTGAGTGCTTAACCCTTGCCAGATCCAGCTTATAAAAATCCCGCCAAACATGGCACAAGGGTAGCAGCAACTTTTGGTCATGTGAACCATCTTCAGTTCTCTATCTAGAAAGGCTTTTCTGGGGCCAATGCTGTGGCACACAGCAGGTTAAAGCTCCGGTCTGCAGCACTGGCATCCCATATGGGCGCTGCTTTGAATCCAAGCTGCTCCATTTCTGATCCAGCTCTCCGCTGTGACCTGAGAAAGCAGTAGAAGATGGCCCAAATGCTTGGGCCCCTGTACCTGAATGGGAGACCTGGAGGAAGCTCCTGGCTTTGGATCAGTGTAGCTCCGGCCGTTATGGCCATCTAGGGAGTGCACCATCCAGTGGGTAGAAGACCACCCCCACCTCCCCGCTCTGCCTCTCTGTATAACTCTGCCTTTCAAATAAATAAATAGATCTTTAAAAAAAAAGTCTTTCCTATATTTAATACCATTTATGTCAAAGGACATCCTTCCTCCTACATAAGTATATAGGTCATAATTTTTTTAACTTAAAAAATTACTTATTTGACAGGCAGAGAGAGAGAGAAGGATATGAGGATCTCATCCACTGGCTCTCTCTCCAATGCCTTAGAGCCAGTAGCTGGGAACGCAGCCAGGTCTCCCACATGAGTGGTAGGAATGCAGCTGCTGAAGCAGTCACTGCTGCCTCCAGTCTCTACAGCAGGAAGGTGGAGTCAGGAGCCGCAGGTGGGCACTGAACCTAGCTGTTCTGAGATGAGATGCAGGCATCCTAACCGCTAGGTCAACGCCTGCCCCCAGAGGCCATTAATTCCTTCTGTCCTCTCATCCCTCAGCTTGTTACCAAGGACAAGCATTGATCAGAAAGTGAGGAAAATGGCAAATGATACAACTAAAAGGGATACCCAGACCGAAGTTCCACTGACATATTAGAATCTGGAGAGGTGACTTCCTACAAAAACAGATTCTTGTTAAATGATAGCAGAAACAATAAGGCCACCACATGCTGCTTCTTCCAGGAAGGCATACTGAGGTTAGGATCTGAGCTGCATCCAGAAATCATTGCAAAACGAGCTCACACTTTGCAGAGTTTCAGTCTACTCCAGACACCATCCAAGGCAAGTGTTGGTCTGACTACTTAAATTGTTCTCTTGGCCTTTATTCTGCCTCTTGGCTCTGTGTAGTCCCTATCCCTGAGCCCAGTCCCCCTTTCCACTCACCTTCCTTCTGGCTTCCAGCAGCACCGATACTCTGCTGCGTCAACAGGTTCTGGTTGTACAGAGTGGGGAGCGCTGCAGCAGCATACTGCTGAATGCCCGAGTAGGCCTGGGTGAGGGCCTCCATGGTGCTCCCGGTGCCGTTGGAAAGGCCACTGCTGCCCAGGCCACCATTTAAAGCAGCCATCCCTTGGTCAGGAAAAGAGAAAAATTAACATACTGGGAAGACACACTGATGCCAGACAGTTACACTCCGGTACGTCTAGACGAGGGGAAACTCCACAGTTCTCCCTTGCCTCTCCCACTTGGCTTCTCCCTGAGGAGGAATGCCACCTAACTGGTCAGGCTTCCGGACATTCACCAGACAGCATTATCATCAGTGGGGATATGAACAAACACCATACCCAGGTATGGCTCACCCCATTACCTTCTCCCAACCTGTGGAAGAAGTGATAGCGCTTACACAGGAGGGGCTCTCTCTTCTCAGCTACTCTGCCAAGCTGGAATGTGCTAAGACAGTCCCAAGGACTAGGGAGTTAAAGAGGTACAAGTGAGCCACGAGAAGATATGGATAAGCCTTATTATCAAAACAGCCCCTAACCTTGAGCAGCACATTCTATGTGCTAGGCATTAGATTTGATGTTCTCATTTAACTTACCTGTTTGCTTGCTTGTTTATTCATTTACTTATTTACTTGAAAGGCAGAATTATAGGGATTGGAAGAGACAGAGATCTGTTCATCTGCTCATTCACTCCCCCAATGGCGGCAATGACCAGGGCTGGGCCAGGCCTAAGCCAAGAGCCTGGAATTCAATCCAGGTCTTCCATGTGGGTGAAGGGGCCATCTTCCGCTGCTTTCCCAGGTACATTAGCAGGGAGCTGAACTGGAAGTGGATCGGCTTGAACAGGTGGGTATCCATATGGGATGCTGGCATTATAGGCAGTGGTTTAACTGTGCTACAATGCTGGACCCTCATTTAATTCTTAACAACCCTTCTAAATATTCTATTGCTCAAACTTCACAAATAAGAAAACGACTTTAGAAAGGCAGTCGGAAGTTATAGCTAGTAAGGGGAAGAGGTGGGATTTAACTCAGGTCTGACTTGCAATCCCACAATTATTATTCTTAACTTTACTGGGCCACTCCAATCATACCAGGATTGTTTAAGATGTGCTACCTGCAGAAGGAATAGCCTGATGACAGCCAAAAACTGCCCCTTACCTGCCAAAGAGCCAACATTGAGGCCAGCTGTCGCTCCAGCTAATGTCTGCAGGGCTCCAAGTGAGGCAATAGGGTTTACAGAGTTACTGCTGCTGGAGCTAGGTGAAGACCCTGCTATTAGAAATCCAGGAGTTAAACTCACCCACACATGCTATCTGTTTGCAAATTTTATCTGCTTCTACTTGTACTGGAAAGGCAGACACAGAGACACACATTTTCCATCTGCTGGTTTACTCCCCCAAATGCCCTGCAACAGCTGCAGCTGGATGAAGCTGAAGCCAGGAGCTGAAACCCAACCTGGAATTCCCACCTGAGTAGCAGCGACCAGAGTCCTTGAACCATCACCTGCTGTCCCCCAGGATGCACATTATCAGGAAGCTGGATCAGAAGTGGAGTCTGGACTTGAACCAGGGACTCCAATAATGAGAGGCAGACATCCCAAGTGGCATCTTAACCTTTGTGCACAATGACACCCTCCCTGCCATCAACAAGAACCTAAGGACAAGAATGATGCTATCCAATTATCTGCAAAGAGGTTTTCAGTTACTAGACTATCCTTGCAGGACAGAGCCACACATGATGGCTACAGCAAACCAGAAATTACAAGAATTCTCTTAAGTCAGAAGATGACATTTGAAAGTCTGTTGTTTATAATATGACCCATCTGGAAATGGATGTTAACTACTTTCCAGAATAACATTTCCCTCCCTTTGGATTCTGCCTTTAGACAAAGAGGATTTACCTAAGGCACACTGGCCCTTATTACATGCTTACCTGAACTGGTGAGTACGCTGAGGGGACTGCTGGATGTAGTGAGAGCACTGGTACCAGTTGGTGTGTTCTGAGCTGCGCTAGCTGCAGCAGCCAGTGCAGCCAAATTCTGTAACTGCATTGCATTTAACCCTGCAACATCCAAAGCAAGATATCAGCCAGCAGATTAAGGTGCCTCCTATTAACTCCAGCAATGACAGCACATGCTGGAGGAACGGTGGTGGTCCAAGACAAAGAGGCACTGTTCTAGATAAGCCTTCTAAGCAATATTACAAGCCTCTAAGAAAGACTCAGATAGCAATATGAAACTTGAAATTACTTCCTGAGAGACAAGATAGCTAATCCAATAGCTTTATTACCCAAGTGACAGTTAGAAAAGGAGCCCAAGAGAACACCGCCAATACCTGTGGCACAGGATGGGATTATATCCCAGTCCCTCACTCACACTTTACAAGGGGGTCTGCTCTTCGCAATGGAGGGGAACATGTGGACAATGTAGCAGAGATTCAGAAGGCCCAGGAGCAATTACAGGGACTAATACACATGACACAAGCAACAGACATAAAGAAAACATTGCTACTCGAATTAAACTAGCCATCATCAGAAGAGAGAAAAAACACCACAGGAAGGACCTCCAGGGAGAACTGGACAGTACAGTCAAGGGGTGAAGAAATCTGAATTGCACTTTGGATGTTGCCTAATCATTTACTAGATGATGCAAAAAGCAGATGAGGGGGGAGTGGGAGAGTACAAAGAGAATAAAAATTCCCATCTAACGACTTTGCAAACACACAGCAAACTATAATTTCCTGGGACAAGATGAACCACTATCAAAATTCTTCAAATTACAAAACACAGTTAACTGAAGATTATCCCTTTCTCAAATGTATCTGCCTCACTTAAACCACTGTAAAAAGTATAGGGACCAATACCACTAGAACTGCCTTATTCCTTACCCCCAAGTTTTATAATGGCCCTGTTTCAGGTTTTTCTATGGAACCCCCATTTTGTTATAAATTTCAGTTATTTGTCAATGAAGTCTTCTGTGTACATTAACAGCAACAGAGAAATTTACCTAAGAAATAACATGTGTAAGATACACAGGTAATTGAAGTGGGTTCTAAGAGCTTCAGGGTAAGCCATCTGCACAGAAGCCATCTTTGGCTTTATATCACTGGAAAAGTCACTACTGTGGAAATAAAGGATTTATGCAAATTTCTCCTTACCAAAATGGCTTAAGATAGTCTGCAGGTGCTAAGAGCTCTCTTTCATACTGACTCAACAGTGACTTAAGGGTTGGGTGGGGAGCAGACAACAACCTCAGAACAATGTGGCCACAACTAAATGAATTAACAATAGAACCACCTCATACAGACAAGGCAGATGAGTCCTGGGATATCCATCAGAGATTAGGTTTACATAATGAGCCATGCAAAAACTCTCAGGCTGTTGCTAGCTGGGTCTGTGGCCTGGGTCTGCTGCTCCTCCGAAGTGGTGGAACACTTACCTCCCATCGGGTGGAGGCTGCTCAGGGTGTTGAGGTTCCCAGAGGAGGCAGTCTGCTGAAGGAGCTGCAAATAAAGCTAGACATTACACCAAAAAACAGAACAAGAGTGAGAGTGAGGGCTGGTTCTGCATCTGGGATAACTCTACAGCACAGCAAAGCGAGAGTGCAGAGGCCCCCAGAGAGAAGAAAGTCGAAGACAAGATCCCAAGCGAACACAACAGAAACATGAGGCTTAGGACACCACAGGACAAAACAACAGAGCTAGAGGCCTGGCCCAGAGGTAGCCCGTTCACTGAGTACTGGGACCAGCTCAGAGTCCCTGCACAGCAGAAGGCAGCAGAGCAGACAACACAAGCACGAAAAGAAGCAAGCTACACTCAAGCAGCTGCAAAGTCGCCTGGTGAGCGTCTGTGCAGACTGACTGCTGTTTCCAGTTCTCTCCCCCCAGTTCTCCTTACTGAGTTCTGCAGATCTCACACTGCAGATTGCTTCCATTCCTGTACACAATTTCCACTTCACACGACTATTTTAATGTTCACATCCAACTATCTCATGGTATTTCTTGAAGTTACCTTTTATTCCAAAGTTCTACATCTATCCAGCCCTATGGATCTCTTCCTCTCCAAATTGGCCTTCACTGCTTCAGACTACCAAGTGACTGGTCAGGTCATACCAGGTTCAGTATACATTTTCTTCCAATGGTCACCCCGTAACAAATCAAACAAGAGGGCCTATGTGCAAGCTTACAGAACTTGTTGACCTTACTCTGTGTCTTAGCAAACTACAACCTTTCTCCAACCTAAAAATCATCACTCCATTTAAACCCAATCATCGTTCACAACAGAAAACTGGTATTCTTATACTGAATCCTTTATTCAACCTGTTCCCCATTTCTCACAAGCATCTGATTTGGTCCCGTCTCATCAATAGTTCCTCTAAGCCAGAGTTCACGAATGAGTTTTAGGAGGTCCACAAACCTCCAGAGATAGGAAAAAAAAATCATACACATATATCTAATTTTAAATTACTCCTTTGAAAGGAGTCCACAATCCCACAAAGATTCAGAATTATGGTTCTAGTCCAGTTGAACTCAGTTGGTTCAAGGCCACACAATCCAGAAAGATTTTCATAATTAATGATTACCTATCACTTACACACCATCTGTACCCACATATCTTCATTTTGTCTCCTTAAATACTCTTGGCAATGTGTTCAGTCCCAACTATTGAACTGTGCCTACTGTACTTGGCACCTTCATTTCCTCTTTAAACAAGAACACCTGTTTGGCAGGGGATCATGTCTAACTGAAACACAGACTGTAACTCTCTTAATACCATCATGTGTTTCCTGAGTGTAGTAATGACAACAAAAGGGGAACTCCTCCCAACAAAGAGCCTCTAACACTAAGAAAAGCAAATGCATAGGATCATTTTTGAAGCATTATCATTCTGGTAAAAGACCACATCTGAATTTTCTGAACTTTAATGTTCTAGTACTAAGAAACAATCTAATCTGCTGAATACAACAACCTTCTATATTTTTTTAACTTCATAGAAATGCTAGTTAGGATAAATTGGGATTTCTCCTAAGATTTTAGAAATATGGAAAGCAAGGAATATTAAATTAACCAAAACTCAGCAGTGGGAAACAGAAATCATTACCTTTCCTGTTTCCACACAGAATAATATTTCACAGGATGAGGAATGACTGCTTATACTGATTATTCCTTTATGGATAGCTTTGAACTTCATACAAATTTAGTGGTTTCATCATTTATAACTTCCAAGAAAACTTTTTCTGACTCACGTGTTTTAAATGTCTTGTGGTAGCTACAAATCTTTCAGGGGGTTAAAGCAACAATAATCCTCTATAACATATATTTCAGACCTATTAAATCTAAATATCCAAATACAACTAGACCTTCTTTTGATCAAACTCAATTGAGAGATCAAATTAAAAGAAATCTATATATAAATACAGTGGACTTAAATGTATACCTGTAAAACTCATTTAATAATGTCTATGTGAATCTCTTAAGCTCTCAATCTGCTGAAACAAACATATATCATACTCTTTAGGGAAGAATCAATATGGACGATATCAAGATATCCACAGAAAGACATTTGGTAGTCGAGATTCCTTCAGGAATTTTTGTCCTGAAGCAAAGATACATGATATTTCTAAATTATTTAAATCAGGAAAACAGAATTTGACTTTAACTGTAGCAAAAGCTGAGATGCATGACCAGGAAAAAGAAAGAGAGTGAGAGAATAAGAGAGTAAGAGAGTGAGAGAGAGAGAGAGAGAGAGACTCTGACTGTGAGAGACTAATATAACTTAAAAACAACACATTGCCTGAATTTTTACATACAATTTCCATTCAACCAAAGCTGTAAATGCCACTGTGTCTGTTAGCTACAGAGAGCAGAGGAAGAAACAGCTGAGAGCTTGGCACAGTCTGCAGAAAGCAAACCACAAAGACTCACTGCTAAATACTGGGGTCCAAGAGTATTTAGACCAGCCAGGTTTCCCCACACAGATGCTGCACTTATTTGCTGCATCTGTTGCTGGAGCTGCTGGGCCATTCTCTTCTGTTCTTTGTCCTTCTGTGTATCAGCAAATTTTACCACCATGGGGGACGAGCAACCCTGTGAAAACACCAAAGGGTCAAATTCCTCCTTCTGCATGAAGGAAAAATCTTTTGTGATAACATACAGGCTGCACTCTAAATTCATTCACAGTCAAATGATTCTCCTCCTGATGGACAGGAGTAACAGAAAAGACAATTAAAAAGCTCAACTATTTCCAATATGTTAATTTTAAAGAAAACAATGGTTTTAAATTTCATGACAGACTTGATTAACTTTTAGGGCAATTAGATGCAGCACATGCTGATGGACTTTTGATTGCCAAATGTCACACAGGCTAAGGAAGTTCCCTCTTTTCATCTGTCTGCTCCTTACCTCCATGGTCTGTGCTTGGTGCATTGCTTTGATAGCTGTCTGTGCCATGGCTCTTGTTGTAAAAGTCACAAATGCACAACCTGGTGAGAGAAGAGTCAGTAACTCATTCATTCATTTGTTTTTTATTTATCTGACATACATTTACTGAGTACCTACTACACTGCAACTATCATGCAGAAGTTTTGTGAGCTGGTGCTCACGAAAAGAAAAGATATACAGAGAAAGATATGTTACAACAGTGCGATTAATGAAAACCAGAGAACCACAGACAGGGAGAAAGGAGGAATTCTATCTATTCTAAAATGAGAGAAAGTGTTTCCATTTTGACATCAAGAAATTTTTAAGCATAACAGAGAAAACTCTGATACATGGCACTGAAGTGTACAATGCAGACCTCTTAGTGGGCTGGGAGAATACAAAAGGGATCAACTAGCAGGGGACTGCTGGGATTTACATAGCAGGCCCAATCTCTTCATGTTAACAGGGTCAAGGTATCTAAGGATCACTGGTTTCTACTGGTCCAACTAAAGTGTGACTCCAAATTTAAGACAAGCGTCTTTAAGCTGAAGTACCACCTCGGCTCAGGCCATCAGGTCCCCGCAATATCCGGCATTCTTCAATCTGTCCAAATGAAGAGAACATGACTCGGATGTCATTTTCAGTGCACTTCTTGGAAATCATACCAATGAACAGCTTCCTGTCTTCCACTGCTAAGAGAGTAAAACACGGAAGACTTGAACATCATTACTACACAAGGCAGTACACAGACTGGCAGCCAGACTGCCTGGGTTTGAAGCCTGGCTCTGTGTCTCACACCGCATTTCACGGATTCCAGGATTCATTTTTTCCCATAATTTTACATGCTCTCTTGTAACAACCAGTGTCCTATGTAAGCAACTGGAAGCATTCAGATGAAAGACGGTAGCAGTGTGAGCTTGTAAAAGTGCCTGTTTCCTCATCTGATTAATAGGGATAATGAGGTTTAACTCAGAGGGTACTGGTGGGTATTAAATTCAAGGGGGTGCTCACTTCGGCAGCACATATACTAAAATTGGAACGATACAAAGAAGATTAGCATGGCCCCTGCGCAAGGATGACACGCAAATTCGTGAAGCGTTCCATATTTTTCAGTTCATAACTGATCATAATGAAAGGACTAAGAGTCAAAGGGAGCACATAAACAAGTCTAGTACCTGCTAACACTAACCGATAGAATAAATAAAGGGGAGAGTGATCCAACATGGGAAGTGAGATACTCAGCAGACTCATAGAATGGCAGATGTCCTAAATAGCACTCTGGCCTCAGAATTAGCCCTAAAGGCATTCGGATCTGGCTGAAAAGTCCATGAGAGTATTTCAGGCATGGAAAGCCAAGACACTCTGGCAAAAGATCTCTGTGAGAGAGATCCCAGTGGAAAGAACAGGTCATCAAAGAAGGAGGTACCTTTCTCTGAAGGGAGGAGAGAACCTCCACTTTGACTATGACCTTGTCTAAACAAGATAAGAGTCGGAGAACTCAGAGGGCTTCCATAGCCTTGGAAACTCATGACTGGTGCATAGGGAGATTACTGATGCCATAGACAGGAGTGTCAATTGGTAAAGTCAACAACAGGAGTCACTGTGCACTTACTCCTCATGTAGGATCTCTGTCCTTAATGCGCTGTGCATTGAGATTTAATGCTATAACGAGTACTCAAACAATATATTTCACTTTGTGTTTCTGTGGGGGTGCAAACTGTTGAAATCTTTACTTAATGCATACTAAACTGATCTTCTGTAAAAAAAAAAAAAAAAAAAAAGAAATTATCAATTCCCAACTTGGGGGCCGGCGCCGTGGCTCAACAGGCTAATCCTCTGCCTTGCGGCGCCGGCACACCGGGTTCTAGTTCCGGTTGGGGCGCTGGATTCTGTCCCGGTTGCCCCTCTTCCAGGCCAGCTCTCTGCTGTGGCCAGGGAGTGCAGTGGAGGATGGCCCAAGTGCTTGGGCCCTGCACCCCATGGGAGAGCAGGAAAAGCACCTGGCTCCTGGCTCCTGCCATCGGATCAGCGCAGTGCGCCGGCCGCGGCGGCCATTGGAGGGTGAACCAACGGCAAAGGAAGACCTTTCTCTGTCTCTCTCTCACTGTCCACTCTGCCTGTCCTGTCAAAAAAAAAAAAAAAAAAAATTCCCAACTTGACTCTCACTGGGATTAAACATGACAATAGGTCTGATCTGATTTCATCATCATTTAAAAAAAAACCATCTATTATTTTTCACTTTATGTTTCTGTGTGGGAGCAAACTGTTGAAATCCTTACTTAATGTATACTAAGCTGATCTTCTGTATATTAAGATAATCGAAAATGAATCTTGATGTGAATGGAAGGGGAGAGGGAGTGGGAAAGGGGAGGGTTGTGGGTGGGAGGGACGGTATGGGGGGAAGCCATTGTAATCCATAAGTCGTACTTTGGAAATTTATATTCATTAAATAAAAGTTAAAAAAAAAATTCAAGGGGCTCAGCATCTGGCCTGTTTTCTCTCAATAGCAATCACTGCTGAAAAAGAGAGATAAAAAGACACATTTTTCGATGGGTGACACTACCTATTTTCTTTAAGACTAATTCTCCTTCCTAACTTGTTCATTTCCTCCCTCATGCCCATCCATAGGAAATTATATCAATCAAGGATGTTTCAGTTCATTCTAAAATGTTCATATCATCTTTCCCTGTCAACGATTTTCCTCACTTGTTTATCATACATATTTTACCGAAAAAAATAAAAAGACAACTTAAAGAACAGATTCCCTGGAGCACAAATCAAGCTAGATATTCTAAGAACATACACACTAAAAGAAACCTTGTAAGGGAAGAGTTTATTTACTTGCTTACCATTGTTCTTCTCGCTGTCAGCAGGTTTCATCTGTATAGGATGATGCATCTGAAAAGGAAAATCCGTAAGTATTATTACCATACACGTTGATGGTATTTAGAACGTGAATGAGGATTCAACAAGAAATTCTGGGGTTAGAGTTCTGCTGAAATGAGTTGGCAATCCCTTTCACAGTGCTGGTTCGAGGCTTGGCTGTTATGTTTCTAATCCACCTCCCTGCTACTGTGCCAAAGAAAGCAATGGAATATGGCCTAAGTGCTTAGGCCTTTAGCTACCCATGTGAGAGACCCAAACTGAAATCTCAGTTCCTGACTCTGGCCTGACCCAACCTGTTGCAGCCACTTGGGGAGTAACCAGCAGAGAGATCTCTATGTCATCCCCTACCCCCAAGTTTATCTCTCCCCTTCTCCATTGTTCTTTCAAATAAATCTTAAAAAAAAAAAAAAAAAAAAAGAGAGAGAGAGAGAGAGAAGAGAAAAGAAACTGCAGAACTAGAGCCTTCAGGGTTCTCGCTGAAATCATGTCTTTCTCATGCATCATCTTTTCTCATAAAAGATAATGGAAGCCGGCGCTGCGGCTCAATAGGCTAATCCCCCACCTAGCGGCGCCGGCACACCGGGTTCTAGTCCCAGTTGGGACACCGGATTCTGTCCCAGTTGCTCCTCTTCCAGGCCAGCTCTCTGCTGTGGCCCAGGAGTGCAGTGGAGAATGGCCCAAGTGTTTGGGCCCTACACTCCATGGGAGACCAGGAGAAGCACCTGGCTCCTGCCTTCGGATCAGCACAGTGTGGCGGCCATTGGAGGGTGAACCAACGGCAAAAGGAAGACCTTTCTCTCTGTCTCTCTCTCATTATCCACTCTGCCTGTCAAAAAAAAAAAAAAAAAAAAAAAAAAAAGGAGGGACCAGTACCGTGGTGTAGCTTGTAAAGACTCCGCCTACAGGCCTACAGTGCTGGCCTCTCATATGGGCACGGGTTCAAGACCCAGCTGCTCCACTTCCGATCCAGCTCTCTGCTATGGCCTGGGAAAGAAGATGGCCCAAGTGCTTGAGCCCCTGAACCCACGTGGGAGACCCAGAAGAAGCTCCTGGCTCCTGTCTCTTGATTGGTGCAGCTTTGACCTTTGTGGCCAATTGGGGAGAGAGCCAAACAATGGAAAACCTCGTACTCTCTCTCTCTCTGCTTCTCCTTCTCTCTGTATAACTATTTGAAATAAATAAAAGAAGTGAAATGTGAGAGGACCCAAAACACTTCTTTAAAAAAAGATAGTGAAAGGGTCAGCACTGTGGTGTAGTAGGTTAAGCCTTTGCCTACAGCACCCAGCATCCCACATGGGCACCAGTTGGAGTCCCAGCTGCTCCACTTCTGATCCAGCTCTCTGCTGATGGCTTTGGAAAGCAGTGGAGGATGGCTCAGGAGCTTGGGTCCCTGTACCTGTGTGGGGGACCCAAAAGAAGCTCCTGGATTCAGACCAGCCCAGCTCTGGCTGTTGCAACCATTTGGGGAGTGAACCAGCTGATGGAAGACCTGTCTCTGCCCTGTCCCCCATAATTCTGCCTCTCAGATAAATACATAAATCTTTGGGGAAAAAAAAAGATACTGGAATGTGAATTCAGAAGTCAAAATATCTTAGAATCTTGGCTGAAAGAGAACTATTTACAGCCCATCTTCTTCGAACTCCATTTATGCCTCCTTTACACCAATTCCTGGATATATGGTTATTGGTGTGTCCTTATTATGTGTGTAAGTACAGTTGTGTCCCTCAGTATCCATGGGGAAATAGTTCCCTGACCCTACACAAACATCAACATCTGTGGATGCTCAAGCCCCTTACATAAAATAGCACAGTATTTGCATATAACCTACATACAGCTTCTAATCATCTCCAGATTACTGATAATAGCTAATAAAATGGAAATAGCAGGGGTCAGCACTGTGACACATCAGGTTAAAGCCCCGGTCTGCAGTGCCAGCATCCCATATGGGCACTGGTTCAAATCCCAGCTGCTCCACTTGCAATCCAGCTGTGGCCTGGGAAAGCAGAAGATGGCCCAACTGCTTAGGCCCCTGTACCCGCGTGAGAGACCTGGAGGAAGCTCCTGACTTCGGATCAGCGCAGCTCCGGCGGCTGCAGCCATCTGGGTGGAAGACCACCCCTACCTGTAAACTCCGCCTTTCAAATAAATAAATAAATCTTAAAAAAAATAAAATGGAAATAGCTGTTAAACTGTTGTTTAGGGGAGTAATGACAAGGAAAAAATATTTCCCATCCATGGTTGCTTGAATCTGCAGTTGTGGAACCCACAGCAAACAGAGAACTGACTGCATATCGCATCTATCAAAACTACCACCAGGGGTGGGCACTGTGACACAGCAGGTTAAGACACTGCGGGAATACCCACATTCCATATCAGGGTGCCAGTTCAAGTCCTGCCTACTCTGCTTTCAATCCAACTTCCTCCGCCTTGCGACGCTGGCACACGGGGTTCTAGTCCCAGTCGGGGCGCTGGATTCTGTCCCGGTTGCCCCTCTTCCAGGCCAGCTCTCTGCTGTGGCCTGGGAGTGCCGTGGAGGATGGCCCAAGTGCTTGGGCCCTGCACCCCATGGGAGACCAGGAGAAGTACCTGGCTCCTGCCATCGAATCAGCGCGGTGCGCTGGCCGCAGCACGCCGGCCGCGGCAGCCATTGGAGGGTGAACCAACGGCAAAGGAAGACCTTTCTCTCTGTCTCTCTCTCTCTCTCACTGTCCATTCTGCCTGTCAAAAATAAATAAATAAAAAAAAATCAAGCAGCTACCATAATCCCGTTTCTAAGTAGGCGCTTTCTTACCCCTGGGAGGACCTTCATGTTGTGAAGAGCATTCTGCGCTTCCAATGCAGCTTTACGGGTGTAAAACGTAACAAAACAGCACCCTGCAACAAGGAAGAGTTCACAAAATCAAACCCATCCTTTGAAAACGAACAATTCCTAGAGCATTTTGTTACACTGACATATTGGCATTTAAAAGAGTTACACTGGCATATTGGCATTTGAAAGAAAAGGTTGCTTTATTAAAACTGGCTGAAAGAAAAGAAGGGGGGGGAAGGGAGGAGAGGGAAGTACGGAGAGACGGAGAGAGGGGAAAGAGGAAAAGGAGATGGGAGGGAGGAAAAGAGAACTTAGCAGGAAACAGGATTCTTTTTAAAACATTTTCTTTGCTGTGTCCGCCTCCTCCTGCTTATATTTACGGCTCTGGAAAAGATGGCTTCCTTTATAAAGGTCATGTGTCACTCTATTCTACTTACAGCACCAGGTAGTTTACTGGGCAAGGTGACACTGTCACAAAGACGACAAAGGGCTTGCAGCCTGTCGTCTACCAGGAACTCTTTCTGCCCTTGCTGTCTCAGAACAAACCACTACCTACACGGTAGCCAGCTTCCAACAGATGCCTCAAACATAACTGTCATGTACTGAATTATAAAATGACTTAACAGCAAGAACCTCTTAACATCTTTTCTGAATTCTTGGTTCTCATCAAATATAATTAAGCTTCTAACTGCACATGATGCTGCCTGAAGTACATATACTTTGTGCTTTGTGATAGTGGGGGCGGGGGGGAGTATGCCTTGGAAATCTCGGGCTTCAACATTCTGACACTCTTATTACTGTGACACAAGAGATGCCTTCCAAATCACGCTGCAGTTAGGATTTTTAAATTATTTAATATTACACTGCCAGTCATTTCAGAAAACTATATATTTTATATTTTTGGTTAACTATATCATAAAGAGAATATTTCTGCTTCTAGATATTCTGCTATTAAGCCGGTTTCAAACATGTGAATCATGCTTATTCACATCTGTACTTAGGACAGCATTCAGAAAATGACTCTGAAATCGGTCGCTTGTCTGGTGGGGGCAAGGGCAAAGCTATGCCTGTTGACCATGGGTCCTCCAAGCATTCACTCTGCTGTTGTTTCTGGAAGCAGCTCGGCTTTCTTTTTTTGTTTATTTTTAGGTTACAGAAAACAAGTCATCTAAACAAGTCCTTCTTGTCTGATAGACCAATCCTGAAGGACCTCTATATGACATTAATAGGAAATCTATGGTATGTGGATGGTCCTCTTTCAGCTTACTCTCGTCAACCCACCGCGAAGATCAAGTGAGATATTCACATCGGTCTATGTCTTGAATTTAGAGCTCTAAAAAAGAACTGCTCAAGATGTGATTTACAAATTATCATCATGTCGGCCGGCGCCGCGGCTCACTAGGCTAATCCTCCGCCTAGCGGCGCCGGCACACCGGGTTCTAGTCCCGGTCGGGGCGCCGGATTCTGTCCCGGTTGTCCCTCTTCCAGGCCAGCCCTCTGCTGTGGCCAGGGAGTGCAGTGGAGGATGGCCCAGGTGCTTGGGCCCTGCACCCCATGGGAGACCAGGAAAAGCACCTGGCTCCTGGCTCCTGCCATCGGATCAGCGCGGTGCGCCGGCCGCGGCGGCCATTGGAGGGTGAACCAACGGCAAAGGAAGACCTTTCTCTCTGTCTCTCTCTCTCTCACTGTCCACTCTGCCTGTCAAAAAAAAAAACAAAAAAAAAAAAAAAAACAAAAACAAAAAAAAAAAAACAAAAACAAAAAACAAATTATCATCATGTCACCTTAACTTTTTATTTTTAAGGCATTAAATGTGTCTGAATAGGAAGAAAGAGTCACTCTAAGAGGATTCACTTTTTCCCTGTATGACTTCAGGAGTATCCTGGCAGTAAAAAGAAGAGAATGAATGCATGTAGTAGAAATTAACAGAAAAATCTAATTCTTTGTTCTGTCAAAAATCCAGAGTCCTCACCTTTGCTCTGAGGAGGGTTTTGGCTCCTATCCCTTAAGACATTGATTTCATAGACAGCACCATACTGTTCAAAGAGTTCCCTCAAGTCCTTCTCAGACCAGGTCCTGGGAACCTGGCCCACAAACATCTTGATAGCATCAAGATCCGGTTGGTCTGGGTGGTCCAGGGTGCCGTTCATTTTCTTTGAGCTGCATGAGATAAAATGAAGTATATTACATATTCATGTTACTTTCCAGAAAGTTTTTTAAGATCTCAACTACTTTCTGAAAGAGGAAAAAAAAAATTGTACCCCTTTCACTACTTCCATTCACTTTACCAGTTTCCTGGTCTTCCCTCACCATGGATGTCTACTTAATTGGATGCCAAACAAAAGTCAGCATCATGATTAGGACATCCTGGATTTTAAAGAGGCAACTAACAGTGTCACTCATTCTTTGTCTAGCCTAAGAATTCTCAGAGCAACTTAAAGAGAATAGCCCTCAAAGCAACATCAAGTTTTAGTGATCCTTAAGCATAGTTAACAAAACAGAGATACTTTTAAAATGTCCATAAAATAATAAAGGACTGTTGACTAAGGATAAGATTCAGAATTTAAGTACAGTGATAGATGGAGTTTCCTTTTCAGTAGATGTTAGAACAGAAGTACCTGATTTCTAAGGCCTAATTTCCAAGAATTGACTCAAGGGGCCGGCGCTATGGTGCAGCGGGTTAACACCCTGGCCTGAAGCACTGGCATCCCATATGGGCGCCGGTTCTAGTCCTGGCTGCTCACTTCCGATCCAGCTCTCTGCTATGCCCTGGGAAAGCAGTAGAAGATGGCCCAAGTCCTTGGGCCCCTGAACCCGCGTGGGAGACCTGGAGGAAGCTTCTGGCTCCTGATCGGCACAGCTCTGGCCATTGCGGCCAATTGGGGAATGAACCAGAGGATGGAAGACCTCTCTCTCTCTCTCTGCCTCCCGTCTCTCTGTGTAACTCTTTCAAATAAATAAAATAAATCTTTGACTCAAATGCTGACCTTTCTAGTATAATCTTATTGCTCTTGAGTTAGGCCTCTAACTTAAAACATAGCTTTACTTCTTAAACTCTACAAATGGCTGACATAAACATAATGTTGTCATAATTCAATACTTTTTGGTTTCTAAATTATCAAGTTAGGCAGTGGCGTTGTGGCGTAGTAGGATAAGCCACCCACTGTAGTGCTGGTATTCCAATATGGGCACCATATGAGTCCCGGCTGCTCTACCTCAGATCCAGCTCCCTGCTAATGTGCCTGGGAAAGCAGTGGAGGATGGTCCAAGTGCTAGGCCCCTGTACCCATGTGGGAGACCTGGGAAAAGCTCCTGGCTCATGGCTTCAGCCTGGTTCAGTCCTAGCTGTTGAGGCCATTTGGGGAGTGAATCAGCAGATGGAAGACCTTTCTCTCTGCCTTTCAAATAAATGAAATAAACCTTTTTTAAATAAAGTTTTTATTTGTATGTATTTGAAAGGCAGAGTTACAGAGCGGGGTAGAGACAGAGAGAGAAGTCTTCCATCCACTGGTTCACTCCCCAAATAGTGACAAAGGGGGCTGGGCCAAGCCAAAGTAAGGAGCCAGGAGCTTCACCTGGGTTTCCCGCATGGGTACAGAGGCCCAAGCACTTGGGCCATCCTCCACTGCTTTCTCAGGCACATTAGCGGGGAGCTGGATTGGAAGTGGAGCAGCCGGGACTTGAACCAGTGCCCATATGGGATGCTGGCGCTGCAGGTCAGGGCTTTAACCTGTGCCACAGCACTGGCCCCTGAAAATAAATCTTTAAAAAAAATTATCCAGTTTACTTGCTATTTTACTAAGTCTTTACTAGTTAAAATCTCTTATCAACCATAACCATTTTAATGTCTAAAAGTTCCTCCATTCCTATCACACTGAACTCGGAATGTTCCTTCACTCTTACCACCCCTGCCGCAACCAAGACCTTAGGGTAATTCTTGGACTACAAATGTTTCCACTTAAAACCATTTCATCTATTTTAAGGCCCTTCTCTTGCCACTCTTTCAAATTATTTCTCTCAACATTCATCTAAACCATTAATAACCTACATTCAAAATAACTAGTTTAGTTAGCTTTCCTTTTAGCATTTGCTGTTTAATCCAGAAATAATATGAACACATTCAAGTTTTGGGGTTCTTAATTTCCAATATTAAAAAATACCAACATTCTTTAAAGGAAAATCAGCAGTTTCTCTACCACTGCTGTCGTTTGTGGTGTGGGTGTGTGTGTGTATGTGTGTTTGACAGGCAGAGTTAGACAGAGTTATTGACAGTGAGAGAGAGAGAGAGAGAAAGGTCTTCCTTCCGTTGGTTCACTCCCCTAATGGCCGCCATGGCCGGCGCGCTGTGCTGATCCAAAGCCAGGAGCCAGGTGCTTCCTCCCGGTCTCCCATGCGGGTGCAGGGACCCAAACACTTGGGCCATCCTCCACTGCACTCCTGGGCCACAGCAGAGAGCTGGAATGGAAGAGGAGCAACTGGGACAGAATCCGGCTCCCCAACTGGAACTAGAACCCGGGGTGCCGGCACCACAGGCGGAGGATTAGCCTAGTGAGCTGTGGCGTGGGCCTCACTGCTGTCTTCTAGTGTTTGAAGATCCTCAAGAATGCTGAACTGTGAAAGCAGTTCAACCTTTCATCATTGAGTTCTTGAATCTTTTTTAAAATTTATGTATTTATTTGAAAAGCAGAGTTGGGGGGAGATAATCTTCCATTTGTTGGTTTAATCCCCAAATGGCTTCAATAGCTTCAGTTGGGCTGAATAGAAGCCAGGAGCCCAGAGCTCCACCTGGGTCTTCCATGTGGGTGCAGGGATCCAAGAATTTGAGGCATCTTCTACTGCTTTCCCAGGTGCATTAGCAGGGAGCTGAATCAGAAATGAAGCAGCTGGGGCCAGCACTGTGGGATAGCAGGTAAAGCCACTGCCTGAGTGCCAGCATCCCATATGGGCGTTCGTTTGAGTCTTGGCTGCTCCACTTCCTATCCAGATCTCTGCTGTGGCCTGGGAAAGCAGCAGAAGATGGCCCAAGTCCTTGGGCCCCTGCTCCCACGTGGGAGACCTGGAAGAAGCTCCTGGCTTCAGATCAGCATAGCTCCATTGTGGCCACTTAGGGAGTGAACCAGTAGATGGAAGACCTCTCTCTCTGCCTCTCTGTAACTGCCTTTCAAATAAATAAATAAATAAATAAATCTTTAACAACAAAGAAAGTAGAGCAGCTGTGACCTGAACCTGCTGTACTATCCTAACCTCAAGCAGATTCCTAAATCTCTTAGAACTGAACACAGGCAGGCTACTGTCACATTCCCATTGCCAAGTGTAACACTAACTTAATTAATGTCCTAAGCTTGAAGGCAAATGGCACACTAGTCTGTGACAACTCCCTGCTTCTTCTAAGTTAAGCAGTTAGCTACATCCTGGGACTCAAATAGCACTAAATTTCTACCTTCACCACAGAAGGTAACACTTTTTAGCATAATCTGACTGTATCTATCCCAACAATACTGACAGCTCCTTGAAGGCAGAAACTATTTCCTGAACATTCTTGCAGATACAACTAGTTCGATGTGAACACTCAAATGGGGGATGGGAGAAATTCCTTGCTCAACAATTCCCCTTAATTAGTTAGCCCCAGCAAAATTAGTGTTGTGTGCAAAGTGGGCTCCCAAATTTGAGTAGCTATTATAGCCTATGATTATTTGATTGCTACAGGATCAATCTATCCTCTCTTACCTGACTTTCCTCCTCCTACTTTTCCTGACTCATTTATTTGAAAGGTGGAAGGACAAATAGAGGGAAGTTTAAAGAGACAGCTTTAAAAGACACAGCCAGTGCTGTGGCACTGTGGGTAAAGCTGCCGTCTGCAGTGCCGGCATCCCATATGGGCACCAGTTCGAGTCCCAGCTGCTCCTCTTCTGATCCAGCTCTCTGCTATGGCCTGGGAAAGCAGTGGAGGATGGCCCAAGTGCACCGGTGTGGGAGACCCAAAGAAGCGCCTTCTCTCTTTGTGTAACTCTTTCAAGTAAATAAATAAATCTTAAAAAGAGAGAGAGAGACAGAGACAGAGAGAGACAGAGACAGACAGACAGCTCTTCCATCTGCTGGTTCACTTTCCAAATGGCCACAACAGCCAGGTCTCAGCCACGCTGAATCAGGAACCAAGAACTCTGTCCAGGTCTCTCACGTGGGTGGCAGGGGCTCAAGTACCCACAGCCTTCTCAGACACATTAGAAGGGAGCTGGATTGGAACAGGAGCAGTCGGGACTCACACCAGCACTCTGAAGCAGCAGCTTTAACCTGCTGTGGGCTATAGTGGCAGCCCAAATCTACATTCTTTTTCTTCCACACGTTTTGGGACACATTTTTAACCATTTGGAATACATGGTTTACCTTTATCTGTTCATTTAAAACCACAAGTGGCAGGTCGTTGCAAAAAAATAACTGCTTTTAGAAGTATAATCCTAATGTTCCAAAAGAAATCAGGATACCATTATGACAAAAACCCCACCATGGCCATTGAAATAGCGGGTATCACTCCCTACAACCTGCCACCAACAACTTTAATTACCAGCTTTAACAGCATTTTTACTAAAATGTTGCTAATCTTTGGTCAAATTTCTATCTTAAGGAGGGTTAACATGGAACCCCAATGGTGCTCAGATATGTTCTGCAGTGAGGAAGCTGACAGCTATTTCTAGGTAGAGGCAGGGGGTCCTTGATTTGTATTACAGCTGTGTCCCCTTGTTCTTTCTTGCTGTGTTTGTGTGCCATCTCTAAACTTTCTACATCACCGTGCAGTGTAAAAGCTTCATAAATACAGTCAGTATATTTGGATTACGGATGATCTAAAAATTCTGCAGACTCAGGAGTCTACACAACGTGCTCCTTTTCTCTTCTTTTTCTTTCCAAATCCTCCTCTAGTTCTTAATGTCTATTCTACTCCCCAAGCCGTCCTTTCCCCCTTGTATACCAGTTATATCACCAGAATTCCCCACAGCAGTGCTGTTCAAAGTGTGGCCTGAGGGCCAGGGGCAATCTTCAAACTTAATACTTTAGTGATTTTATCTGTTCAATCTAAAAATACAAAATAAAAATTCATACATTACTGTACTTGTCTATTAAATCACTCTTTCTTTTCTAAGAGAGGGTGGTGTGACATGAAACAT